CCTAGTGGATTCTCAATACAAATTATTAAATAAAGATAAAGGCAAAACCTCACCTTAAAAAAAAAAAAAAAAAAAAAGTATATACACTGTATTAAGATCAAAATCTGATAGGGTTTATAGAATTTTACTATACATTACTTCTGAAGCTTTTAAAAAAAAATTAGCCAAGTGACTACCAAAAGTGAAAGTCTTATAATAATGTATAAATATTAATTAATTTATTAGTAATTATATATTATTGTAATTATCATTTTATGATTTGCACTTTTGATAGTTACTCTAGTAAATTTTGAAAGAGCAACATATACTAAAACATCTGATATTTACTTATAATAATATGAGAAATTTATAGAAAAACTCTGTATATTTGTATAGAACTCAAGTTATATTCTAATCTTCAAGTATATAATAGTTTATAATTATATATTTATGAAAACACATCAATATACAATATAAATTTAATAAAGAAATGCTAGAATATAATACCAGAAAAACAACTAACAGTATTCTAAATTTGGATTTTAAAATCATAAAATTAGAAATATAAATAGTATTTAAATATTGGAGATAAATATTTTTATATTTTTTTGTTTTTAATTTTGAATGATTACTGATTGTTTTCATTTTTAAAGCTTCTCTATTCGGATAACTATAAAGGTATAATAAAAGTATAGTCTAAGTATGTAGGCTTTATTGCATATACTTATTTGTATTTATAATACAAACTTTATATAGAATAAATCAGCAAATTTAAAGACAGTAAAAAAATAAAATACAAAAATAAAGAAAAACAAGTATATAAATTGACCTCTAATATATTAAATAAAAATGTTAGAAATAAAATTTTGTATATAAAAACAACTTTAGTTTAAGTTTTTACCACTTATACTAACCGCTAACCTTAAATCTTTAACTATATATATTAATATTATAATTTTTTTTTTGGTTTGTATTATAGGCATAAATAAGTAAATCTGGTTTTACCAAAACCTACAAATCTAAACTATATTATTTTTTGATTAATATAATATAGCTTATACAAAATAATATAATTATTATACTTTATATATATAGAAGTTATTAGATATATATATTTAGGCATATAATTTTAAAAAGCTTTTTAATCTTTCATATCAAACTCTATTTGATTCAAATAGTGTTCCTATGAACTGAACTGAACTGAACTTTTGGTCAAGTTCAAGTTCAGTTCAAAATTGAACTGAACTTGAACTTTTTTTAAAAAAAGTTTAGTTAGGTTTAACATTGAACTTTTAAGTCAAGTTCAAGTTCAGTTCAGGTTCAGTTCAAAAGTTTATGAACATGTTCAAGTTCAATGAATTATATATACAGTTGGCACTGTCTAAATGCATACTGCCTAATTGCATATATTGTTTAATTATATAAAAAATCATTCCACAGACCTGGTTCCTATTGATAAATGCATAATTTCTTAAATCGCATAATGCATAAAAAAAAAGTATAATATGTATTTAAAGAATTATATGAAAGTGATTTGATTGGTCCAAACAATGATACTCTAGTATGAAAAATAACACATGATTGATTGACCACTCAAATTACTGATTTACAAAATTCTGGGATTTAAGAAATACTTTATATTATAAAGCAAAGTGTGAGTTTCTATTTAAAAAATTTTTTACATTTTTTTAGAAAAGATAAGCTGCAAAGCCTTTTAAAATAGTATTGTAAAATAACAAAAAAAATTTGGTGTTAATTGTGTAACAACTTTGTGTACCATCTACTGTCTCTGCTGTAAAAGAATTAACCAAAAATGAAAATGTAATGTTAATGTTAAATAATTGTTGTTATTTGACTTCAAGCTCTAGAAGAAAGAACATTCACATGTCTATAATGCATATTTATGCACAACCTCAGTATATATAGTATATATATACGTACATACATACATACATACATATGTTGTATATCATACTAGCTTTTATACGTATCAATATGATTCTTTTTCCTGCCCCCAATTTGCACAACTTCTTGATCTTGATCCTTATAATATACCTGGCTTGTCTGTTGGTTGACTACTTTTATTTGAACAGCGTTATGGCTTCAAAATACGTAAATCTCACAGAAAGAGTAGATCTGCAGATAACAAAGCAATAGAAGACAATTTGCCAGTACTTTGTGAAACTATTAGTAGGTATGCCATAAAAGATATCTATAATATAGATGAAACTGGCTTATTCTATAGGATGGCACCAAACAAAATAATTGCTAAAAGACAAATTGAGGGGTATAAAAAGAATAAAACGCATCTTACACTTGCTTTTACTGCGAATGCAGATAGTTCACACGTGCTAGAGCCCTTCATAATTGGTTATTCGAAAAAACCTAGATCATTTAAAAAAAAAAGTGGTCAACAGCTTAGATTTTATTACTGTAATAATAAAAAGGCTTGGATGACTGGCCTTCTCTTTTGTGAATGGATTAAAAAATTTAATAGTATAATGCAACAAGGTGATCGACATATTCTTCTTCTTCTAGATGGTACAATGTCACATGCAACTGATGATTTAAAACTTACTAATACAAAAGTAGTTAAGCTGCCTTCAAAAACAACATCTAAGTTATAACCCATGGATGCAGGAATTATTGTATCATTCAAATGCAGATATTATCACTTTTTACTACAGTATACCATTGACTGTGATGAGGCTGGTGAGACTAAAATATATAAAGTTGATCAATTAACAGCAATGTGATGGTGTTTACAAGCTTGGTACTCTATTTCTTCAAAAATTATTACTAACTGCTTTTGTCACACTGGCTTATTTGATAACCAACCTTTACCAGCTTTTATGAGATTCGCTTAGATAATAAAGTTGTTGATAATTTAAATAATTCAATAGAAATCCTATCACCCTGTCACCCTATGAGCCTTGAAAATTTTACAAGTCCACAAGAAGAGATTAACTTGATGCATCAAGAATTCACTGATATTGAGATGCTAGAAGTATCAGCACCAGCAGAAGAAGATAATGAAGACAATTCATCAGATGATAATTCTCCTCCCACTACTCTTTCAAACAAAGCAAAGCTTGAAGCTATTCGTAATGTAATTAACCTTTTTAATAAAACTGCTTATAATCAAAACCACAACATAGTGCATCGGGCATTGCGTGCATTATAGCGAGATATTTGTTTACAAATTTCTTCTTCAAAAGTTCAAATAATATTAGATAATTTTATGTAAAAAAAGGACAAGTCTAATAGCATGTATACCTGAACATTATGTTTAGAATTTATTATCCCTTAAACCGTATTCCAGGCAAATTTGCCTAGAAAATTTAATTGTATTTAGTATTTTTTAAATAAAAT